TCCATCCATTATTTCAGTGAAGGGATCGTTGGTTCTTTTGGGGTTAACTCTGGCATAGGGTTGAAACTTTGGCCGTTGGCTATTTGAAAAGGAGTGTAGCCTGTGCTGGAGTGGACTGCAGTATTGTAGGCAACTTCTGCAAAAGGAAGTAAGTCCGTCCAATCACTCTGTTGGAAATTTAAAAAACATCTCAAATATTGCTCAAGTACCGACTGGCAGAGTTCCGCTTGTCCATCTGTCTGAGGGTGATGGCTAGATGTCAGTCCCTGAGTGGTCCCTAAGAGGGATAAAAATTCCTTCCAAAATGTAGACGTAAATTGCACTCCCCTATCAGAGATGATGCGTTGGGGTGCCCCGTGCACTCTGTAAATGTGCTGAATAAAAAGTTTTGCTAAGGCCTTTGCAGTGGGAATTTTTTGGCAAGGGATAAAGTGCACCTGTTTGGAAAATAGGTCCGTGACGGTCCAGATAACAGTATTCCCATTGCTTTCTGGCAATTCCACTATAAAATCCATGGCTATTTCCCTCCAGGGGGCTGAGGGACTTGCCACTGGTTGTAACAAGCCCTGGCGATTTCCCTTGCAACCTCTTTGCTGATGCACAGGTTGGGCAGCTGGCAACATAACTTTCTATGTCCTTTTTATTGATGGCCACCAAAATTGCCGTTTAATTAAGTGTAAAGTTTTTACAAATCCAAAATGCCCTGCTGATTTTGTGTCATGGCAAAGCTGCATGAAAGTGACACTTTGGGTTGTTGGTATATATAACTTTTCCCTACCCAAGGCAACCCATCTCTCATTGTGCACACATTTTTGTTTTCTGGAACCAATCAATCTGTTCCAAACTTTTTTGATTCAACTCCAAGTTGCGATGTCAGTTGTGGTTTTAATGTGGCTTGGGTTCTTGTGGTTACTGGTGCTGCCAGTTGTGACTCTGCCATTATTGGTCTAGAGTCTGTGGTTCGGGCGCTGTTATATTGGGGCATGCGAGATAGTGCATCTGCCAGGAAGTTCTTTCTTCCTGGTAAATGTTTGAGCTTAACTTGGAATTGGTGAAAATGCTGGGACCAGCGGGCTGGTTTGGGATTGAGTTTCCTGGAAGTTTTCAGGGCTTCTAAATTTTTGTGATCAGTCCATACCTGGAAGGGGATTTTGGTGCCTTCCAGGAACTGTCGCCACGTGAGTAATGCCCAACGTATCCCATAAGCCTCCTTCTCCCATACGGGCCAGCGCTGTTCTGTTTCCGTGAGTTTCTTAGATGTATCTGCACAGGGTTGCAATACTGCATCATCATTTTCTTGTAATAGCACAGCCCCCACTGCCACATCACTTGCATCTGCCTGTATTCTGAAGGGTTTGTCCATGTCTGGGTGCCTTAGTACTGGTTCGGCAGAAAAAAGTCTCTTTAGTCTCTCAAACGCTGCTTGGCACTCCATTGTCCATGTTAGTGGCTGGCTAGGTTTTACTGAGGATGTTCCCTTCGTTTTTAGTAAGTTGGTGAGGGGCAAGGCGATCTGTGCAAATGAGGGGATGAATTGGCGGTAAAAATTTGCAAAGCCCAGGAAACTTTGTAGTTGCTTTCTTGTGCGGGGTGGTGCCCATTCTAATACTGCTCTGACCTTCTCTGGGTCCATTTCAATGCCCTGTGGGGATATGCGATAGCCTAGGTAGTCTATCCTTTCCTGGTGGAATTCGCATTTTGAGAGTTTGGCATATAGGTGAGCGGATCGCAGCTTCTTTAAAACCGCTCTGACAAGTTTGACGTGTTCTTCTTTTGTTTCAGTAAAGATAAGAATGTCGTCCAAGTAAACAAGGACCCCCTTAAACAGGTGCTCCATTAGAACGTCATTGATTAATTGCATAAAGACTGCAGGGCCCCCTTGTAATCCAAATGGCAAGACTTTGAATTGATAGCACCCCATGGGGCAGTTAAATGCAGTCTTCCATTCGTCCCCTTCCTTGATTCTCACGCGATAGTAAGCTTCCCTTAAGTCTAGTTTAGAAAAAATTTTCCCTTTCGATAGGTGTGACAGCATGTCTTTCATGAGGGGCAGCGGGTATAGGTTGCTTTCACTGATTTTGTTCAGGGCCCTATAATCCACGCATAAACGTAAAGAGCCATCCTTCTTCTCTCTAAAAAGGACCGGGGCAGCCACTTTAGGCTTAGCTGGTTCAATGAAACCTCTCTCCAGGTTTTTTTTATAAATCTTTCCATTTCCTCCTTCTCCTTTGGGCTCATGGAGTATAATCTGGGCTTCGGGAGTTTTGCCCCAGGCTTGAATTCAATGGTACAGTCTGTGGGTCGGTGGGGGGGAAGATCATTCGCCCTCTCCTCACTGAAGACTTCAGCAAGGTCCCTATATTCCTCTGGTATTTCTGTTAATCTTTTTTCCTCTCCTATGGATGCTTTTTCTATTCTTGATTCTGGTAGCCTCTCTTGGGGTTTTAAGTCCATAGGGTCCCCCTTCGGGAATTTGATTTATGTCGTCCTCCAATTTACCCAGGGGTTCCATTTTTTCAACCATTCCATCCCTAGAATCATTGGGCATTCCATACCTGGGGTCACCACAAACGTTAAGTCCTCTTCATGGTTGCCCAGGGAGAGGTGTATTGGCAGAGTGGCTAGGGTAGCTGGCACCCCCCCCTGCTATGGATCCATCTAGCTGGCCAAAGGAGATTGGTTGTTCCAGTCTCCTGGATGGGATGCCCAGATTCCCCACTAGTGTTGGGCTAATGAGGCAGCGGGTGCAGCCAGAGTCTATTAAGGCTTTCACCTTCACAGCTTTGGGCATGGGGGGGATTAATATAGTCACTGTTTTGAAGATGGGTGTGATGCGTCCACTTACCAGGGGTTCGCCTTCCGAGCTGTCATCTGAGGCATCCACCGTCCCTGTGGTGTAGGCTGGAGTTCTTTCCCCTTGGTGAGCAGAGGTGGGGTTTTCTGCAATTTACATCATTTTCATGGCTGTTTCTTTTGGCTTAGCTGAATACCCTCTGGGTTTGTTGATTGGGGATCTGTCTGGGTTGTGCTGGGGGGCGCCTTTGAGCGGCATTCTACAGCTCGATGCCCTTCTCTTCCGCACTTGAAACACCCCATCTGCTTCTTGGCTGTATCCGATGATTTCACCGGTTGGTGTGTCAGCTCAGGCGGTGGGCGGCTCCATTGTTTTCCTCGGCGATGCCTCTTCAATATGTCTCGATCTCTGCTTCCTCTGCCAAGACGTACCATTCCTAAAGTCGATGTGGGTCCCCTCGGGGCAGGCAAGCATCATATAGATCATAGTTTAGTCCGTCTTTGAAATGGCCAAGGAGGATGTCTTCTGGCCAATTCAGTTTGCTGGCAATGGCCCGGAATTCTTGTGTATACTCAGCCACGGGGCGTTTGCCCTGCCTCATCGTTGTTATTCTTTCACGGGCTTTGCGATCAGCCAGGGGGTCTTCAAATCGTCTTCTCAAAGAGGACATGAAACGGTTGAAGTTACTGAGTTCTGGGCCATTGGAGTCATGCAAGTTCACTACCCAATCCGCAGCTGGTCCATTCAGGGCAGATTGCACAATCCGGATGCGGGCTTTGTCGCTGGGAATGTCCTGCCCATATTCCTCCATGTAGCTGAGTACTTGGGTTAGGACAAACCCCAAGCGTGTTGGCTCCCCTTTGAATTTCACCTCCAACGGTGGACGTCTTGGAATGGATCGGTGCCTCCGTTGTGGGTGGTAGTGTCTTCCGTCCGGATTGCCATTTGTGGTCGTAGGGGGTGGGGGCTTCCTGGCATCAGTAGATGTCCCTGGGAGTTGCAGGTTTCCACGTCCCCTCGGTGTCTCTCCCTTTGTGGCTCCAGGAACTGGGGCGGCCGTAGGGCTCAGTATCTCCTCCTCCTAGGGAGCGAGAGTTCTCTTCATCCGGTCAATAGCTTTCTCTAGGATCCAGTCTGAGTACGGTGCCCAGCTTCCTCCCATCTGCACTTGCGTGCAGGGATTTCTCCATCTCCGCTTCCATTCTGGTTGTGCTGGTCCCCCGTCTCAAGGATCACCTTCTTGATTTTTTTTTTCTTTTTTTTTCCTGTCCCACTCACTTTCTTTCCCACGCCCATCGACCAGCAAGGCTATGTGGTCCCTGGGTCTCCACCACTTCTTCTCATGAGGAATCGGGCCTCTCGGATCCCAAACATTGGCAAGGTTCCAATGGGTCAGCGGCTCTACTTTCCGGGAGTTTTACCCCCTCTCTTGCTCCATTGTCTGACATGGTAAATTTTTGCAAAATCCCCCGGCAAGGGTCTTCCTTCCAGGTGGATTAATTTTGCAAGTCCTGTCTAATGTAATGACCCACCCCACTTTGCATCTTAAGAAGACAGAACTCTTGGAATAATTCTTCCAACAGGAATCCTTTATTAAGAAGAAATGGTTGCAGGCATGCTAGACAGGACTTGGGGTTCAAGCTCTCCCATTCAAGGTTTTAAGGGGTTCCTCAGTAGTCCCACCCAATCAACCCCCCTTCCAGTGATAGTTTCAAGTATCACAATTCCACCCCCTTTCTTCTTTCTTCCGTCTGGATGGAGACTTCAGATAACTATATGAAAGGCAAATACCCTTCTTTGTTATGATAAGGTCCTCTGGTGCTAACGCTTTGAGGTTACAATAAACACACATTCAGCATTCAGCTCTTTGAAGTGTACTGAAGGAAGTGAGGGCCATAAAGCCCCTTTGTTCTCCCCCTTCTCTCCCTCTTATGGCAGAATCCAGAGAAGACAGAATTGGGAGTTTCTATATTTGATAATTAAAGATGAAATATAATTGGATTCTGACAGAAACTAACCAAAGAGAGAAGCAATCTAGAACTAAGGAGAAATTTCCTGAAGAACAATTAATCAGTGCTATGGATGCTCCAACGCTGGAAGTTTTTAAGAAAAGACTGGACAGCCATTTGTCTGAAATGGTATAGGATTCCCTGCCGCTGCCGCCGCCTCCTCCTCCTCATTATTATTATTATTATTATTATTATTATTATTATTATTATTATTATTATTATTTTGCACAAACAAAATTGAAAATCCTGGCTGTATAACATCACCATACTCATTATCTGCTGTCTTCCAAACCTGGAAGAAAAATGGTACTACTTGGAAAAAACAACAACTATATACCCAAATAATTGTATATTCACTCCTGATCACTCATCTTCTGGTTTAGAGTATTTTGCTAGATTCTTTTTCATACTCAACTGTTTTAAGTCAGTTTTTTTTTTATTTCTCTAGCATAACAACATGTTCTGTTATCTGAATAATTACATCTGAACTTAAACCAGAAAAAATAGTATGAAGGAATTAAATCATGCTGATGCTAATTTGGATGTTTCATACTATTTTGAAATAGTTTCAGTTTATTTACCTATCAGTTTATGGAACCACATATATCGCTGAATGTTCACAGAGGTGTTTATTAATTTTGAACATGTGAATAATAATATAGATTTTCAATCTAATTTTAGTATTCAAATGAAATATAGCCCTTAGATAATGAGTGTCCTATTTAAATTGTGTTCATCACAGAATTCTATTTAACACTTTTTAAAATTTTGGCTGAAAGTAATGATTTCCCAGGTAATGTGTTTTTATATAGTTCTGAATACACTTCTAGGCTGTTAGATCCTACCTCATGGGACAGAGAAGGCAGAATTGAAGTGTTACCCATAGATTGAAGCTGACTAAGGAATGAATTAAAAAAGAAATTATACATAAATTACATAGGAGTTCAGATTGGTTGACTCTATTCGTGTTAAGTTTGTACCTTGTCTTGTTTTATAAATTTTACAGTCACTTTGGATCAAAATTTCCATTTTGTCTTTATATATAGTTGAAAAACCTCAGATTTTAAAATAACATTTTTACAGAGATTTCAGGCTATTTTACAGTATTAAATCTCCAAGGAAACTCCTTGAAGTGTCTTAGTTCAGTAATGCTGATTTAGTGTATTCTAATTATGTGTCATCTTCTAATGCTGATTTTGTGTGGCAGAACCGAGCTGGGTCGTCAAAAGCTTCACACCCAGGATTTATTTTACCAACTGGAAAGAGCAAATGAAAAGGTTATTGAGGTAAGTTCAATAATATCATCTGAATGTTATGCTTCAGCTATAAGGACTGCTCTATTTGAATATTACTGTCACTTGGATTGAAGCTGTTCTGACCCAGAGACACATATTCTTTTTCCGATTTCGCACATTGGAAAACATGTTAGAAATTACTAGTATCTTTACTGCTGTTTAAACATTAAAATGTGGTGAGTGAAGAGTTTTTTTTACTAACATCTGTAATTTATCCTTTCATCATGTTGTATTACATTTTTTCTGCAATTACAGATAAATGTAAATTTTACTTTCATTTAAATTTTCATTTTTCTGCAGCTACACAGACATTGTAATTATTACCTTAACCATCTGCTAAAAAAAAATAAAAAGTTAATTCTTTATCCTGATAAAACTACGTTATAAACAAAAGCCTTCTAAATCTTTCTGTGCTGCCTCCTGGTAATGGAGGGGTGTTTCTGCCAAGTGATTATAATCCCATAAGAGTTCCCAAGGCGTGAAGCTCATCTCAGCAAAAGCTAGCAGGCATCTGTATTCAGCAGCAATAGAGCAAGATGCTGGAGGCACATGATCACTTTAGTGGCAACAGCAAAGACATCATTTTCTACTATTTTTATTAAGAAAACCATATGAATGTCTTAAGACATCAGTGAACTGAAATAGATTGCAATTGATTATTTTTCAGTCAGAAGAGAACAGTTTTATGTCAATCTCCCAAGTAGACCAAACAGTTAAAATAACAAAATGAGCAAAATCTTTATTGTAAGGTTACAGTAACAACTTTCCAAACTGAGTTGATGCTACATGGAGCTACTTTTTTATTGTTCAAAGTCCATTTGCAATTTCTGTGACAAATTTTACATTTGTAATAAGTGATTTCATTTATACAGAGCGAAAAATTAATGAGGGAATATCAAGAAAAAGTCAACAGACTTCAAAATCGACTAAATCAAGCAGAAGAGAGGGCAACTACAGCATCTCAACAGGTATCTAAACTGGTCCACTTAAATGAATAAAGAGCTTTTTAAAAAAGAAAAATATACTTTATGGAACAATGGTTACTGTAGCTGTTAAAATCAATGCATGTATTGTATGCATATAAGCATGATAAGGCCTTATAGATATAATCGTTGTACTTGCATTAATTTTACCTTTTTTATTAGTTTTTCTGTTATATTGAAATAAAGACAGAACATTTTAAAATGGATGTTTATACAGAACTAGAAGATATACTAAAAGGAAATGTCTGTCTAGAAATTCTGAATAGGTTTGAAGAACTAACATAAAATTATAACTTAAATCACCATGCAGAAATCTCAACATTAGTACCAAATTATTTGTGAAAATAGGGTTACTTAGCACAACCATTCTTTCAAATCCATCAGTTTAAAAGGTAATTTGGTAGGTAAAATATAAGAATGCAATATAGAAACATTAATACACTGGTCTCTTACAACTGGAGACTTCTGTATTATTTCACTTGCAGGATCAGATATGAATCCATAATTCATCATGGGATAAACAGGTAATGCCATTCAGAAGTTGGACCTTTAACCACTCTAATCACTGTAGCTGATATAAGTTGGAATCCACTTATATCTATCTGAAAGGTCTTACGTTCCTCAGAAAATAATTCCCTCCTCTCACACAAGTAGGTAGAAGCTCTAAGCTACGTACTAACAAATTTGCAGGTCAGAGAACATTTAGTGTGTTCATAATAATGGTGGCTGGAAAAAAATTCTCAATTTTACATAGAAAGAAAATAATTTCTGTAACATATCTATTTCAGGTTGTATTGTCATCTAATTTGTTTAAAAGGATCCAGTGAGGAAAGGAACTAATCATTGTGTTTAATTACAGCTCAGCGCCATAACATTGCAGAAGAAAAAGGCCACCTACTTGATAGAGCAAAAAGAAATGTGAAGTAATATGTCCTTTCATAGTCTGTAAGTACAAGTTGCCTAAGAAAAGTACCTTTGGCGCCTTAGAATGTTTCATGTAAAATGCTGTATCTTTTCCAGGTACTACATTGCTTTATAAAACAAATGTATTTTTTTCTATTCACAACAAACATTAAAGAGACAGCTGAGAAAATGTGTAAAAACATCTCTACAAAGTTTAGTTTTGAAAATTAGAATTGTATACTGTTGAATTGGATTTTTCTAATCTATACAATCAATTTATTAGTTATTTAACTTTCAGATGTTGAATGTTCTATCTATTCAACCAATATTGCTGAATTGCTGCTTAGCATCAACGTCCCTTACCTGTTTGAAAAGTAGACAGACTCGGTATATCAGATATACAATTAACAAAGCTATTCTTACTCGGCATTTAAATTACTGTAAAAGTAGAAATTCCATTTATAGCAATTCTTTAGCTGTCCAGAACAATATTTAGGATGTTATCACATTGTTATATGGACTAAATTGTCTACATTATCTTGGAAAGTCCATGATTTCTCAAGATAGAAAAGTCTAACGTATATTTCAAACTCCTTCTTTGGTTAGGTACAAGGAATACATGAAAAAGAAAAAATATTTTGTTTAGAGCTAGATAAAATGTCAGACCGTGCAATGGTCAGAGAAATTGCAAAAAAACCCACGAGTTACATCTCTGACTCTACACAGGCGTCAGTTAGCATACTAAATGTTCATGAAAGTACAATTAGAAAAAAACTGAACACGTATGGTTTGTTTGGAAAGATTGTCAGGAGAAAGCCTCTTCTCACTAAAAAGAACATGGTAGCACAACTTAGGTTTGCAAAGTTGCATCTGAACAAATCACAAGACTTCTGGAACACTATTCTTTGGACAGACCAGACCAAAGTGGAGATGTTTGGCCATAATGCAAGTACCACATTTGGCAAAAACCAAATACTCCATATCAGCACAAACATCTCATACCAACCATCAAGCGTGGTGGAAAGGTGATGATTTCGGCTTGCTTTTTTAGCCATAAAACCTGGGCATCTTGCAGTCATTGAGTTGACCACGAACTCCTCTAAATACCACGTATTCTAAGTAAAATGTGAGGCCCACTTTCCGACAGTTAAAGCTTGGCTGACATTAGATCATGCAACAGGACAATAATTCCAAGCACACCAGCAAATCTACAATAGAATGGCTGGGGGAAAAAAAAGTAGGGTATTGCAATGGCCCAGTCAAGTCTAGACCTCAACTGAGTGCAATGCTGTAGTGCAGTGGTTCTCAACCTGTTTCACAGGGGTCGCCAAACAACGCAGTCTGCCATTTTTCCCCTTTTCCTTGGTTGTGCTACTCCCTTTTATTCTATTGGCTTTTGAAAGCCAACAGAATAGACTCTTGAATAGAGTCTAATTCTATTGGCTTTCAAAAGCCAATAGGAATTGTCCAGGCTGTCTCTGCCCTGCTGAGCCCGCCAAAAGTCCCATTCTGCAAATGGTGCTGCAAGTTGTCTGCAGCGAAGGCGAGCTGTCTGGAAGTTTCCACCCCTCCCTGCTGAGTAACTACTAAAAATGTAAGTAAAAGAGGGCCAGGAGTGGGAGCTGGGAGGCCAGCGGGCGCAGGGATTGCTGGCGCGCGTGGGGCCCTGCGGGTGCCTTACCTCCCTTGGGCTGGGCCAGCTGGTGGCCCAGCCGGTGGTCAGCCTGCGCCGTCTCTGCCGCTTGCCAGCTATGCCTCGGCCGGTGCAGGGGGCGGCACCACGCATGTGCGGCTCTCCCGGGCAGGGAAAGTCCTCGACTTACAACCGGTTGAGTAGTCCTCGACTTACGACTGGTTGGGTAGTCCTCGACTTACAACCAGTTGGGTAATCCTCGACCTACGACCGGGTGGGGTCGCGGCATTAAAAAGGTTGAGAACCACTGCTGTAGTGGGACTTCAAGAGAGCTGTGCATAAACATGCCCACAAATCTCAATGAACTAAAGCAATGTTGTAAAGAAAAGTGGGACAATGATGTGAGAATCTGATAAAGTCATGCAGAAAATAATTATCCCAAGTTATTGCTACTACAGGTGGTTTTACAAGCTATTGAATCATGAGGTGTATTTAGTTTTTCACACATGCCTTCCATTTTGGCTTTCTTTTTGTAAAATAAATTATAGCATGGTATAATAAGTCGTGTGTTGTTGTTCATTTGAGGTTGTGTTTAACTATTATGCTAAGGACCAGATGATTTTTATTATGTCCTGATACATAAAAGCATAGAATTCAAAGAGGGTGTTCTTTCTTTCTCATAGGACTGTATGTACTTGGAACAAGTGAGCTACATTGTTTTCTAATCCTTGAAAACATTAGTAATGGCAATTAGTCATAGGCCAACCAAGCTGTGATCTCATTCCAGCAACACTGAAAAAGCCATCTTTGTATTTGACCTGCAGTCTAAAAACTCAATATAAGGGTTTCAAAATATAGTATAGTTCAGGAACAAACATGCAATATATCTTTTGCCTTTGCAACCTAACCTGAAACCTCTCCAGTTTATCACTGCAATCCAGTGTATGCACAGCAGCAAAATCCAACTCATTTCTCTTGGCCTAAACGGGCATGAATGGAAGTTAACACTATCAATTCTGTATACTTTAGAATATAACAGTAATAAGTTAATGTAATTTTTCATTTTATTATTTGCCATCTGATTAAAAAAAAGAATATATTGTTGTCAAATAAACTCAGATATCACACTAGAACACTTAAGTGTATTGCAAAATGTACAGCATTTATTCACATACAGACAAAGGCACAATTCTACTAAATATTTTAACAAAAAATACAGCCATCTTCAACTAGGTCTTTATAAATACTTCAAAAAGGGAGGAAAATAAATACAGGATTGGGCCATGTAATATAAAATAGTCATCTCTACATATACTTTATTTCTATTTGTTTTATCATCATGCACCTGTTTTCAAATTGGAGCAAAATGGACACCAAAGCTAGGCACATAGTGAAAAAATCCTCTGTACAAGGTTTTACAAATGTAGTAAGATCTTTTTACCCAATTTACGTAAAATAATCAAGATTTTGTACATATGAGACATACATTATCTTTCATTAGTTTAGACTGGCACATATGTGTATGGGTGTCCGGAAATGGGCAGCATTCCAGTCAATATTACTAAAATGTTTATTACCCTATATTTCAATGTAGTACACCAAGATTTCTTGGGCAATCTGCATAAGTAAAATGTGGAGCTAACAAGAAATCTCCATTTTATCAATGAAATTAATGTAGTGGTTGTAAAGAATATGGTTTTATTTATACATTTTCATGTACTGAGTGTTAAATATGGTATGAAACAGCTGGTCATACTGATTTTACCTACTTCTATAGTTGGACATTGGGGGTAAGGGAAAAACACTATTTTTTCTTCTTTTGCTATTAATTTTTGGTTCAGCATTAATCAAAACATCAGAAAGCTTATTAACCTAAATATGGTGGGGAAAACAGATAAGGCATTCTTTCTGCACAAATGCTAATACTCCTAATAGTGCAAATGTAATCTGATACCTCTTTCAAAATTGATCATAACATTGAATAATGTTTATTTAACATCAAATTTATTTCTTCTATGGCTTGATGAAAAACTCCCTGTTGGGCACGTTAACCAATATTATTTCACTTAAACCTCACCTCAAACACTTATTGTATTAAATAATCAATTAATCACATCCCTCTTATATTTAACAAGAATATGCCTGCTTTTAAGGCAGGAAACCTTGCTATATACCTGTAATATATGGGTAGTTTAATCCAAAGCAACAAAGCCGTGTATATATATCTTACTTTCCAGTTGCTTTCTAAAATGGCATTTTAAAATGTTTAGAATTTAAAATCTTAACCTGCTTGTTAATTCTATCCATCCTGACTCAAAGGCAATGCATAGACTACTCTAATACAGCACTCTCTGTAGAAAGGAGATGGAGAATGTTCTTTCTTTTAAATTTTAATAATTTCCTTGACAATGAAGCAAGCTGCCAAAAAAAAAAAAACCTGCCTATATAAAGTTCTGTTAAAGAACTGGAACTGCAGTGTACCAATAGCCATCACTGGAATTACAGCTATTACATACACACAGAGCCTAAGATCAGAAAATGATGGTCTGATGAAATGTGACCATTTCACAACCTCCTCATTGTTCATGCATGAGTCCCATTTCAGTTTCCCATTCAGTTCTAACCACAGCATCCGGGGATATCTGAATTTGATAGGCCAAGTTAAATAATGGCCTTTCAAAGGCTGTATTTTTTTATTTTAATGAAGCCAATTACTCTTATATTAAATTATGATTAGCACTAAGCTTGATACTGAGGGTGGAGGCAAAAGATTAGTGAGGGGGAAACTGAATTTGTAGCTTATTATAGGTACAATAATCTTGGATTATTACCACTGCTTTAGAAGTAAATGGGGATATGTTCTGATGCATGTTCCCAATTATAGAGTCAGTGAATCAGTAATTTAGAATTCATGGGATCACGTACAATATTTCTCTATCCAAAATTTAGGATTGTAAGAAAACTGTACTTTATAAACCTCCTCAAATACAATGTATTATTGATGATCAGTGACTTGCATAGCAAGATGAAACAGTAGCACTCTAGTTTTCAGCTGAAACCTCTGGAAGACTTGAGTCAAATTGCAAGGTTCCAACGTTTGTTTTAAAACATTATTTTACTTGTAGTAAGTAAAAACTAATGATGATGAGTTGCCAAAACAAAATACCTACTGCTCCTTACATTTCTCATAACTTCATTATCTCTGATATTGTTTATATCCAAGTTGAGTCCCAAAAGTTGTAATAGTCTTTGTGTCTTACAAATGCACTCTGCTGAGTACACAAAATAGGCTAATACTCTGTTCACTTATTATTGCTGATGGCTTTTTCTCTCTAGTTATTGCAGTTTTAATGATGTAATCAAAACACTCTTTTGTCAAATCTAATCCATATCATGAAGTCTTGTTGTTAAATTGGTTTGAATGTAAAGCACTATTCGCATCTTATTGCCTTACCATTTTTTTCAAAAAATATACATATATATTTATTACATCCTTCTTTTTGTATTTAAAGTAACCCTTATGTGTTAGAAACTTGCATATCCCAACACATAATATTAGTGCATATAAAGAAAGGCTGATGACTACTGCCTTTGGAAATACAGTCATATCTTCACGGCAAACTTCAAACATTTGTCTGCCATTGCTTCTCCCAAATCTGTTAATATGCTAAGAATTTTTCTATTATAAAAATTCTCCCCCGTTATAGATTTACAATTTGCAGTATATTTCAGGGGTGTGGGTGTGTAGGAGAAACAAGACAGCCAACCCTGTTTTGCCACAGAGACACATTTAAGTCTGTCACTTGAATTGTCTTTGTATTTCACATGGCAAGTACTAGCAGAATACAGCAAGCTTACAAACCTTTCTTTCAAAACAAGATCAAGTACTTTAAGACATAGGTACCCCTTCCCTTAATTTGAGAGAAGTAAATAATTTTCCTTAATTCTTTGTCTGGGTCCCTTCAGAATAGCACTGTATATATGCTGCAGTTACTTTTTTTATTCTGGGCAGCTTGGATTTACCCCTTAGGGTATCTAGCTGTCATTCTTACCTGCTTGAAAACTTTTGTGTCTAAAAACATTTGGAGTTAACAAAGGTTACAGCTGCCAAAATTCCCCTGAATTCTAATACAGCAAAAAAAACGAGACTAGGATTTACTCTAAGCACAGCCTGAGGAGAGTGACCAGATTAGGATAAGCAGTGCACCAAAATTTAATTCATTACTCTCTTACATATTAACAGCTTGTGCTTTTCAGGGACGGGAGAAGAAAAACTTCAGTGCTATCTGCATGAAGTAGGGTCTACCCAGACAATCCAATTAGCTTATCCTTCTTTTTAAAATGAGCATTCAGCATATTAATCAATTGGAAAGCAATATTATTTTCTCAGATTTCTTTGAGACAATTGCAAATAATGTTCACACCTCACAGTCATGAGAATGGTGAAGGAAATACTCATACTCAAGTGCACGTAAACAACTTTCTACAGCCTAGGGAAAATGTGTTCATTCTTGATAGATCTTGTAGTCGTAATTAAAACTCTTTTGTCCCACCAATAAATAGAAAAGAGTAGCTACTTGTTTTTTTATCCAGGCTGGAGCTTCACTGGTTCCAGTGCTGCTATTCTGTATCACTCTCCAGTCAAGAGGCAAGAATACTTCTCCTAATAAAATCTGTCCTTCTAGGGAGAGAGCTATTTGATCCCAGCCTGCATTTCTTCTCAGACATCTCAGTTTCTGAATCACTCATCTCTGCATCCGGGGCATATCCATCATTCTCACTGTCCATTTTTAAGTTGCTTTTTGCCCTATCTTTAGGGGAAACTTGTCCGAGAGCCGAGTAAGAGAAATTAGAGTTTTGGCGGCATGCCTCCTCCTGCCCTTCTCCCTGCTGTTGCCTTTCTCCTTTCTTTGGAATTCGGAATCCTCCCCAATTTTTCACAGGGCTTCTGGGTGTTGTAGGCACTTTAACTGGACTCGGGTTATAATTTATTCTGAAAAAGGATCCATTGCATTTAGGCACCATATCCCTCCGGATTCCGGGTGCTGATCTGCCACTTGGGTGGTTCACTGCCCTTTTATTTTCTAACTGCCTCTGAAAGGATTCATTTGACTTCAGGGGCTTGTAGTTATGTTTGGGAGGTTTCTCCTTCAATCCTACCTTTATCATGTCACAATGAGAATGATTGTCTCTTTTCTTGTGGTCTTCTGTTACAATCCCATTCTTCTGTTGTGCTGCTCCAACTTGTGCTTCTGCAAAGGTTTTTTCAAAACTGAAAAAGCTACCAGAAGAAGCAAGACCCTCCCTTTGGCTGGGCTGCTTCAGCAATGGTTTGTTATTGTGCCTAGAATTTCTCCTCATTTGCTCTCTCTTCTCTGTTTTTTTCAGTGAATGACTTAACGACATGCCCATTTGTTTTCGGAAGAAAGCCGAATGCCATTTCAAATCCTCTATCTTAGGTGCATCTGGGCCCAATGGTGAACTGTTGAAGAGCACCAAATTTTCCATCGAGGAGAAAGAGGAAGGCATACCTGGAGAGACACCAATAAACATGTTAAAGTTGTTCTAAAATTACTCATCCTGTATTTACCTTCAGTAAAAACTTCCATTAGTTGTACTAAATTCTTACTGGAATGAATGGAATTTAAAAATGAATTTAATCCAAGACTCATTTTTCCTATTAATTTCAATAGGACTTACATTCAATTAATTTACTACAGCTACTACAGTACTTCGTTACTCATGTAGGTAGTATAGCCAGTGCTAACATGGGGTATTAATTTCACATTATATTGTATCTTAAGTACCTAATCAGTTAAGTCAGTAGAAATAAATTAAGGTGTTTTAATGATAAGACTATTTTGGTGCACTAAATACTATCTTCATTATTTTTGCTTTTTACTTATTTTTGGATCTCTCTCTTTTTTTTTATAGAAAAACAGAAACAAATCTAGACTTGTTAACCAGTTTTAGTCCTGCCTATGCTGTAGTAGGGTATGTGTAGCACATTCCCTGCTACAGTAATGACAATATTGGTCAATTTTGGCACCTTTTGGCCTATATGCCTCAAGTGTTACCAAAACACAGTTTTATCTCAAACATGCTCATACTATATGCTGACTCTAAACCGCTTAGAGAAGGCTGTAAAGCACTGTGAAGCAGTACAAAAGTCTTAGTGGTATTGCTATTTCCAGATTACCATGCATGCTATTGCCCTTATCCCACTGATTAGGAAGTAAGTACTAAGTCCTAACAAATACTTAGAATGCATCTACATGGAGGGAAATGTGTAGTGGAGAGCCCCAAGGCTCTCTTTTGGGCCCAGTGCTCTTCAACATCTTCATCAATGATTTGGATGAAGGGATAGATGGGGAACTCATCAATTTTGCAGACGACACCCAGCTGGCAGGAATAGCCAACACTCCAGAAGACAGGCTTAAGATACAGGAGGATCTTGACAGACTTGAACATTGGGCGCTATCTAACAAAATAAAATTCAATGGTGAAAAAAGTAAGGTTCTACATTTAGGCAAGAAAAACCAAATGCACAGGTATAATATAGGTGGTACCTTGCTCAATAGTAGTAACTGTGAGAGGGATCTCAGAGCCTTAATTGACAAACACTGAAATTGAACCAGCAATGTGCTGCAGCTGCCATAAAAGCCAGCACAGTGCTAGGCTGCATTAACAGGGATAGAATCAAGATCACGTGAAGTGCTAATACCACTTTACAATGCCTTAGTAAGGCCACACTTGGAATACTGCATCCAGTTTTGGTCACCACTGTGTAAAAAAGATGTTGGGACTCTAGAAAGAGTACAGAGAAGAGCAACAAAAATGATTAGGGACTGGAGGCTAAAACATGTAAGGAACGGTTGCTGGAATTGGGCATGTCTAGTTTAATGAAGAGAAGGACAAGGGGAGACATGATAGCAGTATTTCAATATCTCAGGGGTTGCCACAAAGAAAAGGGAGTCAAGCTATTCTCCAAAGCACCTGAAGGCAGGACAAGAAGCAATGGATGGAAACTATCCAAAGATAGAAGCAACCTAAAACTAAGGAGAAATTTTCTGACAGTTAGAACAATTACCGTAAATGCCAGCGTATAAGACGACTTCCGCGAGCACTGAAATCGGCGCCAAAGACGGGGGTCGTCTTATACGCCGAGTCGTCTTATACGCCGGAAATACTGGTAGTTTCCGGCATATAAGACGACGTTCTAGGAATGCGGCCCGGTTATAAAGACGGGGGTCGTCTTATACGCTGGGTCGCCTAATACGGCGGCATATACGGTAATCAGTGGAACAACCTCTTCCAGAAGCTGTGAATGCTCCAACACTGGAAATTTTTAAGAAGAGACTGGACAGGCATTTATCTGAAATGGTATAGGGTTTCCTGCCTGAGCAGAGGGTTGGACTAGATGATCTCCAAGGTCCCTTCCAACTTTATTATTAATATTGCTAAAGGCAATATATCAAGATAAATAATGTAAGAACAGGGGGAAAGAAAGGATAGTTACCACAGATACAAAGATATGGAAAGCTACAGCATGTATTTGTATATATTATCTGCATGTCAGTTCTAAAGCATGCAAATGCAAGTAGATAAATAGGTACCACTTCAGTGGGAAATAGTGTTCTGTATGCCTCAGGGTATAGTCATGCCAGTAACTTGACCATAAAAGTGTCTTCAGACAGCTAGGAAATGTACATAAGCACTGCCCCCTAGAGTAGGACATAACTGGACAAGGGAAATATTTACCTTTTATAAACTAATTATAGATATGTTTCCTTTTTTATATCATGCTTTTAATTTTTTTGTTTATTACTTCTTAATGTCTTTTCTATGCTCTTTCTGAGATAAATAATATGATGTATATGTAGGTAAACATGGTTTTTTAAAAAAAAAATGGGTCTTAGGATGTATATTGAAAAGTTTTATACAATATACATCCCAAGACCCACTCACCCCTCCCCCACTTCTCAGAGCTGAATACAGAGTTACAAATAAACAATCAAACTCTTAAAAAAAAAATTACCCAACTATACTAGTAACCAAGTCCATAACGCACTTTAACTCCCTTATAAATATAAACAAATTAAAAATAAACATAATATAAACAAATCAATATTGTTAAACCATACTAAAACTAATAAAAATTAAAAAAGAAACTATTAATAATATTCTAAAGTTTACTCATAAGCTAATTGAAACTTTTTAATCCCATATTTGTTCTGAATATAATCTATCCATCTTCTCCAAACCGAAATATATCTTTCTTGTGAGTGATCCTTCAAGTAAACAGAAATTTTTGCCATTTCTGCTAAATTTGACACCTTAAAGTGTCTAATCTTCTATAGTAGGCAAAGAATCTTTCTTCCAATATTGCCCTACTAATAACCTTGCAGCTGTTATAAAATTCAACATCAAAATAGTTTCTTTAGCATCACAATCTACAATAACAGTAGGTAAACATGGTTTTAAATAGTTGTAAAACAAAACGCTTTTTTTCCCCAACCAGCTTATTTTTACAGAAATTGTTTCAGTTTCTGTTTTTTCAAAAATGCTCCTCCTACATAGTGAAAAACTATGTCCCATTTGACCAAACTATATAAATTATATATTTGGCTGATATAAAGATGCTATTTTAACACATCTTATAATAATAAATTGTGATTAACCTACTTACAGTGATGATGAAACTTTTAGAGACCGAGTGCCCAAAATCACCCGCCTGCCCGCTCCGTTGCCTACTCCTGCTCCACCCCCCATTCTGCCACCTGCTCACAGGGCCACCCACTGCCTCCACGGCCTGCCGCAGATTGCCTAAGTAGACCTGCAGCGCCATGGTGGCCACGCCTTCCACCCATGCAGAGCAGCAGCATCTGAGCACATTGGGCGCGAAGGCAGAGTCTTGTCCCTGCTCTTTGGCTGCCATATCCTTGGCTGTGCTCCTCGGTGCAGGCCGTGCCCGAGGGTGACTCTCCGGGGGGGGGGCCTTCTGGTGAGGAGGGGCTGCAGGGAAGGTGGGGCTGGGGCAACAGCGCACGTGCCCACAGAGAGAGCTGCCTCTGGCCTACTACATTCCTAAAAATCATAAAACTAAGTTAAGTTTTGAAGTGCATCAATTAAAAATCAACACTGCCTTAGCTTGGTCTGTGGAGCACAAATATATTTTTCATAGATTTATTACGTTGTCATTTATCTTATAATGGGAAATGTTAAATTGAATTAATACAAGTTCTATTAAGATGCAAATATGAAATAACTGAACAAAATTTAGAACCTTATCCCGTGCTAAAGTAATAAAATATAAGAGAATGAAGTATGACACTATTCTCTAGGTTTCTGACCAACATGTGTTAAGAAAAGCATCTACTAATTTCTACTCTTGATTAGCAAACTTTTTGCAATCAAAAATCCTGAAAAATGAAGCATAGAATTGTATGAAATCTTCTACATTTAAATGCATATTATATGTACACAAACACTTGCAGGCTATCAAGTTGTCTGCAAATTTCTGGGTCTGAATATATTCACTGCCAGCATGTAGTCTCCCCAGAATACATGGTCTTTGACAGAAATAAGGTTCCCAAATCTGCTTATACTAAATTATAATTTGCTAAATGAAGTAATACTGTTGCATGGATGTGAGAAGTGGCAACTTGGAGGTATTACAACTTTCAAAAGGAAGCAAAAATAAGAAATGAGACTATAAAACAGCAACAAACTATCTAAACAGCCATAATAATAATACTGTATTTTTATAAATATTTGCAATGGCTATACTTTTAGAGAATTCTTTTCCAAGGATATAAAAATATAAATCAATAAATTCCTTAAAGTGGCAGCAAAGATAATCCATACAATCTTTTTACACCTGAGGGCATTGGTGGAAAACTGGGTAGGGAGAAAATAATTTTGAATTAATTAAAATTTAATGTATGTACTTACAGACAATCAAATCAAAATTTTATTATGGTCACAGGCTAGCATAAAGAAAATTAATGTCATTATTTCCCATTTATTTGTTCTTTTATATCAAGAAGGGGCACAAAACATGAGCATTACAGCATTAATTTTAATTCCAGATCATTTGACAGTGTTTTTCCAATGCCATTCTCTGAAAAATAAGAGAAAATGACAAAACTTACCTGAAGTTCTTTCATGTTCTACAAGATTTGTATAAAGATGAAATATCTGTTCCTGGACTTTGCAAACAGATCTTTTAATTTTTTCCCGTCGGGTCACCATGTAAGTGAGGTTCCGTACCTAGAAACATTGAAAATACTGCTAATATGAAGAATGCATAAAGGAAGTTTAAGATTATTTTGAAGTTGTTTGGAAAAAAATAGTGGCTCATCTGGAAACCTCTTTATAGTGAGTGAGACAAAGAAAAAAAAATTGAAGTAAAGAAGCATCTTGGATGAAAAGCGAAACATTTTCAAGGAAAAAATACCAAGGAAGTCCAGTTTCTTTTGAAAAGCACCTTTAGGATAACCATGACCGGATGACTCGGGGGGGGGGGGGGAGGGGGAAATCCTTTATTAAAAGGATTAAAAAGAGAAAGAATTTGGATAGAAAACCTTAAGACAGCATTAATGGCCTTCTTCTAAAAATGGTATCTTATCAATTCAGCCCTTTCAGTCTGGAGCCTAAGTACTC